AGATCGTGACTGTGACCGTGACTGGAGCTTGGTCACGGTTAGTCACGGGAAATTTTTCGAAACTTTGCAAAGCCCTGAGGAGTAGTAGGGGATCTATTAGCACTGGTTATATAGTTTATTAAGAAGAAGAAAAAAAGATGTATAGGCTCAACAACAGCAACAATAAAAAAAAAGCTTGTATATATATATATGTTAGTAGAAACACGCCATCTCTTGAACGATAGTACATACAACGCTGATCGCGCCATATGTAGAATAAAAGATTATCGAAAGATGATCATACCGTATAAAAAGACAGATCATAGTATGATTAAGACGGTGAGGTGATAACAGGGCCGTAGAGAGTTACCTCGATAACAGGACTTTAGCGAAGCTACCTCCTCTTTCAGTTATCCTTTTTTATAAAAAATTGGGAAGTGTCTAGTATTAGTCGTTTCGGAAACCCCTGAGGGGGGTACGGGCACCTCCGCGAAGTTACCCTCTCCCACTCGATCATCACTTTTAATAGTAAACAGAAATTTTGCAATAGCTCTTTCTGGAAAGTTTTTTTTTCATGTTGAAGAACCAGAAAGAAGGGCCATGACTCACGGTCACGGCCTGGCCTCACCGTGACCGTGATCGTGACCGTGACCAAAAAGTTGGTCACGCCGGCACTAGTTCAGACTCTGTGCATAAAGTAGATCCCATTAGGTTATGAAAACTTTCAAAAGGATAAGTGCTCTTAGGCGTTCTCTCCAGAGCTATAGGCATTTTACTACAATTTTAGCCTATGGCATGATATATGTCAAAAAATCGAATGGCGGTACTTCGAGCTGATATTTAACCAACAGACAGGCCTATTGCTGATCAAAATGCCCTGAAAATTTCAGTTCGAAAAAATGTTTCCTTCCCGAGATATTGGAGTCCCAAGAATCACTCATATCCTATGAATGATACTAAAATATTTCGTTTTTTTGAGACTCTACTATCTCGGGAAGGAAACATTTTTTCGAACTAAAATTTTCAAGACATTTTGCTCAACAATAGGCCTGTCTGTGGGCTAAATCTCAGCTCGAAATACCGCCATTCGATTTTTTGACATTTACCATGCCATAGGCTAAAATTGTAGTAAAATGCCTATAGCTCTGGAGAGAAGGCCTAAGGGCACTTATCCTTTTGGGAGGTTTCATACCCCCAATGGGATCTATTTTATTCACAGAGTCTGAATTCAAAAGCGATGAGGCAGTTGGATATGTTCGCTCGTGAGTTTCTTATTGGTCATATTCGTCGTAATCAGCATGTTCAATAACTTTTAATCCATTATCTTTCATTGAAAACATTCTCTCGCCAATTAGATTTTAACATACCAACATATTCTGTCAAAGCTGGATGTTGTGGATCTTCATAAACATGATTTAATGATCTAGCAAGACCAAAATCACATATTTTAACACGACATTGTTGATTAATTAAAACATTTGATGGCTACAATAAAATATATATCAACTTAAAAATTTATTTCTCTAACAAAGAATAATCAATTCCTTTACTTTCATATCACGATGTATAACATTTGCAGAATGAAGATATTTCATTGCTTTTAGTAATTGATACATAACATAACGTTTATGTGTATCTTTAAGAATATTTCCTTTACGTATAACATTATGAAGATCAGCCTCTAAAAATTATTAAAAGTAGAAAATTCTGTTTTTTTTTTTTTATTTATTTTTTACCCATAAATTCAAAAACAAGATAAATATCACGATCATTATCAGCTCGTAAAACATTTTGTAAACGAATTACATTTGGATGTTCACCAAATTCACGTAGAAAAACGATTTCCCGATATGTTCTCTATACAATAACAACAAAAATAAAAATAAAAATAAGAAAATCATTGTTTATTTTTTTTTTCTCTCATACTTGCGCATCAGTTTGATTACGAAATGCATCGAAAATTTTTTTTAATGCAACTACTTCTTTAGTTCGTTTATCAGTTGCTTTCCATACGATACCATATGCTCCTTTTCCAAGACGTTTTTGAATTTCATAGTAACGTAATATATGTGTATCCACTCCTAATATTCATATGAAAATTATTTTATGAAGATTGAATCAAAAGAAAATTTAGACTTACCATCCGACATTTTTTTTTGTTGCAACGAATTTTGTTATTTTTTATTGTTTTTCTAGATAGATAATAAAATTATTAATCTAAGCATTTACAAGTATTCGTATTTTTTTTTCTCTTTTTTTTTCGATTCGGTTTCAACCATAATAAGTTACACACGATGATCAGTTACTTGACAACAGTCTCCAAAATGCTTATGTAACAATTACTTACAAACAGATGTCACTCATTGGCATATGAATATGAGTTATTCAGGTTTTTATAAAAAAATGTTTGCTTCTCAAGTTTAGGTTTCAATTTTAAATAAAGTCTGGACACGCAATTGATGTATGAGTTTTATTTCATTATGATTCAATGTTCTAATTACATATTGAATCGAAGAGAAACTTGCGCACACATCGCATCGGTTTAATTGATGAAACTGAAGATTCTGTTTGATTATTGAATTATGTGTATTGGAAAATGATATGAATTTATCATGGAATTTTTAAGAAAAAGCTTCTTTTTTAAATAGAAATATATCAGATGATTTATGAATTCTTTCTAAATAAATAATACTATTAAGGTAATTTATGTTATGTCTTTCCAAATCATTTTGTTAATATTTCGATTCGTATTTTTTTTATGATGAGATAACCTATGGTTTTTATTAGTTTCATTTGTTCTTTTTTTTTATTTTATTTATGAATGTCATTTCCTAATTAACGGATTAAATATAAAAATCAAGTTGAGTCAATTATGTTACCATAAAAAGTCTCGAATTGCGTGTTACATACAAATACAAAATAAAAAACGATGAAATAAAATTCTTTAATGTATATATATATATACTTCGAGAAAAAATACGGTTTTGTTTGTTCCCCTTTTTTCTTCTATATGAAGAAACAAAAAAAAAAGAACGTCTATGATTTTGATTCAGTCACAAATAAAGGTCAAAAAACAATATGAAGATCAATCATTCTATGCCAATACAAAAAAAAAGAAAAACGACAATCATAGATCAAGATATGAGTATTCAACGTAAAAGTAATTTTTCATCTCTTACACGTCCATCAGCAGTTTCAATTTATTCAGCAACATTATATTCAAATGATGAAGATGATGATCATCGATTATCACGATGTTATTCAGTACTCTATATTCATAAAACTGATGTATATCATGTTCTTGAAAGACAACAAGGTAGACGTACACTTATTTATCATTTATTTGTTTTTTGTTTAACATTAATTTCATTGGTATTTGGTTCAATATCAACTATTAGTAAATGGCGATCCATATTAAATAAACCATTATATTATGGTGAATTAGGTTTATGTATATTTTTTACTTATGAATTTATATTACGTATATGGTCAGCTGGTTGTCGTGCAAAATATCGTACATGGTTTGGTCGTTTAATGTTTATGACTCGTTCTGTAATTGTACTTGATATATTAACACTTCTTGGTTTTGCATTTTCTATAGCAACAGGTATAACAACTGGAGAATTTCCAGAAATAATATTAAAATTTTTACCATTATTACAAATGATTCGATTTCTACGTGTTGATCGACAATTAACATCATGGAAAATTTTAAAAGGAATTATTTTAAAACATCACCAAGAACTTACAGTTACAATAGTTATTGGTTTTATGTTTCTTATTACAGGTGCTTATCTTGTTTTTATTGCTGAAACACCAACAGATCCAAAGTTAAATACAAGTTTATATAAATCTATGGCTGATTCAATATGGTTTTCAATTATAACAGTAATATTTTTTATAATGAAAATATTTATGGTTATTTCTAATATATATATATAAACAATTTAGATGACAACTATTGGTTTTGGTGATATTTCTCCTAAAACTTTTATTGGTAAAATTGTAACAACAACAATTTGTTATCTTGGTGTTGCATTTTGGTGTTTACCAGTTGGCATTATCGGAAGTGTAATTGATTCGTTGCTTTTTTTTCATTCTATCATGCTTTTTACATATATATATATATATCTATTTAAAGGGTCTTGCTATACAAGTACAAGAACAAAAACGTGACGAAGCATTTAATCGTCTTATACCTGCTGCTGCAAGTGTTATTCGTAATTGGTGGCGACTTCGATGTGTTTATCATGGTGATCGTTTTGTAGCAACATGGAAAATTTATACATTAATGCAACGACGTGTTAATGTACCTGTAACATCATTAACTCAAGATCTAAGATTAAAACCAGCACTAATTAGATCTTCATCTAATAATGCCTGTGAAATCAAATCATCTCCATCTAATCGTACACAAACAACACCGAAACTGAATAATATTCGAAGAAAATCTATAACAAGTATTGGCGATTTACCAAAACGTTATATAACAGCAATAAAAATAATTCGTGTACTTAAGTATTCATCTTCATGTAAAAAATTTCAACAAGCAAAAAATCCAATTAATTTAAAAGATGTTGTTAGTGAAAATACTCAAGTGAATAATCGTTTATCAATTATGTTAAATGATATTCAACGTCGTTTAGATTTAGCATTAGGTACAAAAAAATTAGCATCATATCTTTCCGATGAACAAAAACATCAATTAAGTTTAAGTTCACGAATTGAAAAAGTTGAACAAATAACAAATCAATTTGAAACAAAATTAAATTATTTAGAACAATTAGCAATAAGTTTAACTAAAAATAATTGAAACAAAGATAATCGAGAAAAAAACAAAAAATAAAAACTTTATTTATTTTTTAATCAAATCATTGAGTAAATAATACAAATTTTTTTTTGTTGATATTTTAATAATTCAACAAATATTCTTCAATATTAGTTTAATAGTATATGTTTTACTGAAAAAAAAAGAAGATTTTCTCTCATTAATATTCCATTGAATCGATCACTTTTTTTTATCAAGCCGTATGACAACGCGTATTATCGATTGTCGTAACTATATTATTAGTTATATTTGATCGAACTGTATCTGATTGAACTATAGTAGAATTCCATTTCCAATCGTTGACAAGAATTTCAGGTGTTGTTAATTGAAATATTTGATTTTCTAATTTTGGTCTATAAAGCATCCATGATGGTAATATAATAGTTTGTTTTTCAACTTGAATTTTCTCTGTTTCTTTATACAATGTTGTACGTATACGTTCTAATTGACGTTGTTCGCTATGTATTATATTTAAACGTACTTTCTTTTCACGTTCATAAAATTTTAAACGAACATTAAGAAGACGATCTTCAACTTTATTTCTAGCACGAATAGCATCACTTAATTCTGTATATCGTTGCTGAATAAATTCACCATTAGCATCCTAAACTAGAATAAAAATAAATCATATGTTTTGTTTTATTTCATATTTTATTACAGCTTTTTGTCGTGCGAATTCCATTGATTTGAAAAGTAAAAAATATTTTTTGTTTTCTCTTTCATTTTACTAAAACTTTACACTAATCATTTAATACACCGTAGGAAACTCAATATGAATTTCTTGTTTTTTTCTCTTTTCTTTTGATTTGATTGCCCAAAAAAAAAATATATACATAGAAATTTTCTATTATACACTGTTGTTGTAAAATTTGTTGATACCATTTATATCACTGTTCAATTCTTCAGTTATCTTATTGACAAAAAAAAACCTTTGTCAATATGTTATTGTATTTTCTTGATTGAAAATTTGTTGGCGCCATTTATATCTCTGTTCAATTCTTTGGTTACCTTATTGACAAAAATAAAAAATCCTTGTCAATACAATACTTGAAATAATGATTGAAGAAGAGGATGATGATGAATTAATAGAAAAACGTATTGAATTACGACAAAAACTCAAAAGTAAATTATTAACATTATCACCATCATATCATGTTTTAAATTCATTTAATAATTTTATACCAAATTCACGTGATATAGATTTTATTGAAAAACAAGGTCTTGATTGTGTTATAAATTATTTAATTCATAATAATTCAATAGAATATTATGAACAAATACCAAATATATGTTCAAATTGTCAAATAGATTCAACTGAAAATTGGTGGTATACATTAACTAATACTAAACAATTGATTTATTTATGTGATATATGTGAACAAAATCGAATTCGACATTTTATTCTTGAACAACATCGTCAATCAATGAAATCAGCCTTTTTAAAAGCTAAAGAAATTGAACATCGTTTAGAAGTTGATTATCAAAAACAAAAACGAAGGAAAATCTAAATAGATTTGAACAGTTCACTTCTATAGCTTGTTAACAATGTTCTGTATACAACAAAAAAAAAATCAAATTAATTGTAAATATAAGAAATATTTTATTATGTACCTAATTCACTGTTATAATCAGTTAAAAAGTCATCTTATTATCATACAAAAAAAAACCGTTTAAAAAACTTTCACAAGATTAAAAATTATTTGAAAAGAGATTATATTCGACGTTTCGATAACAAAATCAATCAGTAGAAAAACAATCCAAATAATTTGAAAAAATATCGTCAATATTAGTCTAAAAAAACATAGAAAAAAAAGAATAATTTAATACAATATTCAAGAAATAGAAAAAAAGCTGCGAATTAATAAATTTCAGATAAAGAAAAACTATGTCATTCAAATCTCACAGAAACTGAAGGTAGTCGGTTCGGTTTAATATGCATTACTTGTGTCATCCTATCACTGATATATTATAGTGTTTATAAGAACCGACTGTTTATCGGCAGTCGATTGATGATCGGATCGTTCATCTATGGAATAACTATGAAGAAACTATCGCCATTTTTTTTTGTGAGTGTTGTATCAAAATAGGAGAATTTTTTTATCACATATTAAAACTGATGGAATTGAGTCGCTCGCTTTACATCCAATCTGATTATGTTGATGAGTCTGAGCCGTCTATATTTGTCACAGACTCTAAAGTGACCTCAGTAATGTTATAAACTTTTATTATAGACGACACAGCAAAAATTGTTTATTAGTACGAGTTATTTTGCCATTGTCTTCTTCTAGATTCATTCAAATTAGGGATATCACTTTCATTTTGAAATTTTTAAAGTATAACTTTTGTTGATTTGAAAATATCGTTTTATCTTAATTATTCTATAAAAAATTGATAACTATGAATGATCACTTCGTCGAACTGTCTTACAATGCCTATTCATTCATCGTAAAATTTTCATCATATTATCTCTAAAGTTCACTCGACAAATGATAAACTCTGTTTGAAATGAGTATCATGGCTATCGTAATGAAATTTTGCCATAAGATGAGATCCTTTCGAAAGTTTTATAGCTGAAAAATTGCCACAACAATTGAATAGAAAAGCTTGTACTCTGCGATGGTATTCAAAAGAAAGTATTTCGAATTTTACTGCTGTGACTGTAATTGCACCAGAACTGCTGCCATTAATCCATGAGATTCATCGAGTCTCAGGTTGTTACATTTGTGGACATTGAAATTTATGCGTTTTTACAATATTCTTCAGAAAACAACTGCTCCCATCATTATGGTAGTAGCAGTGTTGCGATGAACATTTCTATGTCGCATATAAAACAGTACTATATATCTTCATTTCTAGGAGATGTGTTAGTGACTCCTGATCTTGAGAAATCATTCCGAATCCGATTAACTTTAGAAGAAGTCGTCTAATTCGTTTTATGAGTAATGCCCGATACAAAACTAACTCAACAGGCTCAACCTTTGAACGTGAGTGCTGCCGAACACAATTCCTGAATCATTGATGCTTCTTCATCAATCTTGACGATCTCGGGGTATCTCTGTTCATTTCCTTAGAAGATAAAATTCAATTTTTAAGAAAAACATATATATTCTCTTCAATCATAAAAATGATACATTTTTATATTGATGACTTACTAAACAACTTTCACAATCATAATTAATATTCAATTGTCCTATACGTTTTTCTTTTGTAATATTATTATGTAATAATAAATGATAATATGCTTGACATGGATTCATTGTTTTAATCCATGATTGACATGTTAAACATCGATATTGTATTGATACACTTCGACGATTTAAATGTAAATCAAACATTTCATTTGTACTAAATTTATAATTACATAATTGACATACATATAAATCATTATGATGATGTTCTTTTGTAGAAGATGAATAAGAAAAAATATTTCTTAAAAATCGATAAAATTCATTTTGTTTAAAAAATCTATTTGTTGATGAATATATAGCATATTTACATTTATATAAATATTCATCAGATAAACGTAAAAAATTTGTTGATTGCCAATGATTATTATTAACATTTAATAATTCTAATGAACCTGTTTGATAGTGACGTTGTTGAAATAAACTAGGTCGAAGTTCAATAGGTAATATTGGAAATAAATATCGACGACGACGTTGTCGTATTAATTGACAATTTGTTTTAATACGTTCAAGACGTTGTCTATATGATGATGATGATGAATGTTTTAAATTTTTTTTTGATATATTTATTTCATTATTTATTGATTTTGGTAAAAGATTTTTATAATATGGTAAAAATAATGATTGATTTTCATTTAAATCAATCATTGTCTTCGACATCTTAAACAAATAAGAAAATAAACCTATTGTTGTTGTTTATTTGATTTGTATATGTAACATTCTATTGGCTAGAAGAATCACCTCAGTTACCAAACAAAAAAGATAAACATAGAATTATTTCTTTAGCATTAAATCTAGAAGCATGGATATCAAAGGTAAATTTTTATTTGAACGAAAAAAAAAATTCAAAACAAATGATCGTATTTTTTTTTGTTCTACATAGAGAATGATTCAAAATTATTTACACCTGGTCCTTTAACAACCAGTTTAACAGTTAAACAATCTATGCTTCATGATTTAGGTTCACGTGATACTGTTTTTTTGAATATAATTGCATATATTCGTGAAAATTTAATTAAATTAGCAGGTTGATTCGAGTTTATCGAAATAATAAAAATATTTTCTTATGTTTTCTTTTTGTTTTTATAGATGCATCACCTGATGAATATATAGCTGTACTCCTTCAAGGAAGTGGTACATATGCTGTTGAAGCAACATTTTCAACATCTGTACCACAACAAGGTGCTAAAGTATAAGCATATTCTTTTTATATGTGTAATTCATTTGAAAATTTCGATAAAATTTTTTTTTTTTTTTCTTTCAAGGTTTTAATCATTGAAAATGGTGCATATGGTCAACGAATGATAAAAATATGTCGAATATTAAATATTCCTCATGATGTTCTTTCATTTCATGAAACAGAACGTGTTCAAATTGATCAAGTTGCTAATAAACTTAAATCAAATACATATACACATGTTGCTATTATTCATTGTGAAACAAGTTCAGGAATTTTAAATCCAATTGAAGATATTGGACAATTAGTATATGATCATGGTACAACAAAAGGTATAATAGTTTTTTTTTTTTTTTCTTTTTGTCTATTAGTTTTCTATATAATCATTTAAATGATTTTATTTAGGTTCAACAGTATATATTGTTGATTCGATGAGTGGTTTTGGTGCAATTCCTGTTAGTCTTCGTAATGGTCATATTACATATATAATTAGTTCAGCTAATAAATGTATTGAAGGTATACCTGGTTTTGCTTTTGTTATTTGCAAACGAAAACATTTACTTACATGCCAAGGTTAATATAGGACATTCTTTGTTTTTATTATTATTATTTATGTAATGTACTATAAAATAATTTCTATTCAGGTCAAGCACGTAGTTTAGTACTTGACTTATATGATCAATACACTTATATGGAACAGAGTAAACAATTTCGTTTTACACGTATGTGAAAGAATTTAGAAAATTGTTTTTGTTTTTGTATCAATATATATATATTTATCTAGCACCAACACATGCTATTCTTGCATTTAAACGTGCATTAGATGAATTAGAACAAGAAGGAGGTGTAGAAGGTCGAGCTAAACGGTAAAATTTATATTATAGGTTAAATGATGTTCTACTTTTTGTTTTGTTTTTTCTTCTTATTAATTATTCTTAGATATCAAGCTAATAATAAAGTTATTCGAGAAAAAATGCATGCGCTTGGTTTTGTTGAATTAATTAAAGCTGAGTATCAAACATATATTATTACATCGTATTATTATCCACCGGCACCATTTCAATTTCAAACATTTTATAATAAACTTAGCAATAAACGTATGAGAATCTATAATATATGAAATAGAATTAAACATAAAAAAAAAACAACAACGTATACTCTTTAATTTAGATCAATTAATTTATCCTGGAAAAACAACTGAAACAGATTGTTTTCGTATTGGTAATATTGGTCGATTATTTGAGAATGATATGGAAACATTAGCTAAATGTATTGAAGAAGTATGTCAAGAAATGAATATTGATCTGCCATTAAAGAGTAATGTCAAATAATAGAAAAAAAAAATTAAATCATAATTATTACAGTTTATTATATATTAAGTTTTTTTTTCCACATCTTAATCAAATTTTGATATTTATTCAATATAAATTTTTATTGTTTTCTAATTCGTTAATTGCTTTTATTATAATCAAATAAATTAATGTTATCTATCATATTCGTAATTTGTTGAAGATTGACAGAAGGATGTGTAACGACAACAATCATTCAATGGTTTATAATCATTGACACATAGTAATGTTCTACAATCAAACTAGATGCTCGATCGAACTTAAAATATAGGTTCGAGTGTAAATTCATCGAGTTCTAATTCTGATCTCATACTCGAGACCTTGATGTTTCAAAATCTTTTTACTTTTTCAACTTGCTAATTTATATAAGAGCACAAGTGTGAAAACCGGAACAATTCATTACACTTGAAAACAAGTCACAGAAATGAAAAGTGATATTATTTTACTAAAAGAATAGAAACTCATCTACAGATGACGATGAACTATATGACCAGTTAATTGAATATATAACGAGGAAAGTAAAAGGTGAATATATATTATCTTGATGAAAAAAGTATTCATGAATATATTCATAATTACAATGTTTAACATTAACAGTGTATTCCGATTCAGCATTATCAGCAATAAGACGTCAAACGACCCCTGGATTACTTGTTTTTTTTATTTTTGTAAAACTTGACATGATTTCCTCTTCTTTTTATTACTATTTATGGAAAAAAAAAACTAAATAACATTTTTTTTTTAATAAAGAAAAGTTTGAAAACTATATGGTCACTATGACAGTATCTGTCGGATGTCAATTAGTTCTGGTCGAGTACCGGATACATTAACTATCCGGATTGAGTTGTTGAAAAGTTGTAATCATGCATGACACTAATCTCTAAATTGATATGTGTTTAAGTAACTGTCTGTCAGTTATTTTTTAATAAGTATTCATTAATGAAAAACAACTTCAGAATGATAAATCTTTCGATTTTATTTATTTGTAAAAACAAAAAAAAAATTTTTTGATATTCATATTTAGAAATATTTTGCATATGAAGAAATACCAATAACTATTGAAGATGCAGCATGAAGTGTACAGCTTACATAAAATCTATTAGTTTTTAAATTAATTAATTCAACATAAGCTTAACGATTAGATATATCAGATGCTACAAGAAGATCATCACCGTTGAGATCAATATTTCGATAACAATCGACTACTTTATTATTCATATCTTGTATATAATGAACAGCATTTTAAGAATGACAGCAATGGTTCTATGCAATACTAATATTAATACCAATAGAAGTATAACGAACCAATTGTTGTTTTTTTTTATAGTATTGATAATGAAATAGAAAATCATGAATATATGAAATTCAATTATCGTTTTATATTGTATTTTATCTACATATCTAAAGATATTTTTTCTGGTTCATATTACTAATTCTTGACATCATATAAAATTCATAAAGAATTTCAAATTTCAATATATATTATTAATCAATATATTTATAAAATAAATAATCTGGTTTCAATGATACTAAGTAAATCCTTGAGAGAATTTTGATAAGAAATTTTTTTTTTTCTGCTAAGATATTATTAAAAGCCTTAATCTTCATTCTATAAGTAGATTTTCTTATGATGAAATTTTACTATTAATAAAATGACTTGTTTATCTAGAGTATTATTTCATGAGATTGTATTCAAAAACTAAGCAAATAGATATTTTTCCATAGTTTTTCTTGGATATTCAATAGTCCTAATAATTAAAAGAATTAATTATTTTTAATCTATATGTTTAACTGTCATGCACAATTTATAGAGAAAAAATAAATATTTCAAAATAACATTAAATACATAATAAGAAAAAACCTATTTTTGATTTCTTGAACATTACTGTTCAATATGTCATTTTACTTTTCAAATAGTAACACAAAAGAAAAAAAAAAGAAAGAAAGAAGTTTTATTGTTTTTTTTTTTTTTTTTCTTTTTACAAATCCATAAATTGTGTATTAGTCACATGAGTAACATCATTACCAAATGAAACACTTGGCTTTCCTACTGATCCAATTGAAGTCTTTTTTATGTCATTATTATTTGGATGATTTAATGAATTATTATATATTGATGTATATGTTTTGTTTGTTGTAGAATTTAATATCACAGATGATAGCGGTATTTTTTCAATATTTGAATTTTTTATTTCCATATTTGTATTATTAAGTTCTAATTGATCAATATTTGCCATTGTCATACATTGTTTTCCAATTAATGGTGTTGCTATTGATTGTAAACGTTGTTGTCGAATTCTAACACATGATGGACATACAAGTTTTGTAAATGCATCTCGAAATGCTCTTGACATACGACAATAAATAAAAAAATTTATTGGATATGAGAGTAAAACAGCAAAATTTAATAATTGTACAGCAAAACGTAAAAAATCAGCTAGAAAATCTGATTTAAGTGCTCTTAATACGCCTGATATAATTAAATAAAGAGCCATAGGTATTTCAACAATTAAAAACATAGTTACTACAATAATCTAAAAGAAAAAGAAAAAAAGATAAACATAATGTCTTTTTTTTTTTTATTTATTTGTTTTGCTTATTTTACATACAAGCATGAATGTAACATTTGATTGTTCTTGTGTTCGAGCTTCATAACTACGTCGTCGTATAAGTTTATCTCGATTTTTTTTAGCTTCTTTCATACGTCCAACTAAAATAGCATTTAATATAACAAGTACTGTACATGGTCCGACATTAATTAATAAAGCTCGAATAAGTGAATAAATAGAAAATAATTTGCTATATTTTGGATCTTCAGAATAATCAACAACTGTACATGCATTAAAGACTTTTTTTGGGTCAAGTAACGAACGAACTAGTGCTGGCCTAAATGTGCCCTCAATAAACATTGGTATAGCGACAATCAATGCTAAAATATTGACACAAGCAATTGCTTTTAATGCCATCGGTACAGTACACCATTGTTTAGCCTTGTCAGAATAACATACATATATGTAACGTTGAATAGCTAATACAACAGTGACCTAAATATATATATATATAAACAAAATAGATTGTATAATAATAATAATAATAATAATTTACCCATATTGAACATGTATGAAAAATAAATGGTAGTACATCATGACTAATTCGATGAAACCATCCATAATTATACGGTATATAATCATTACATTGTCGAAATGTAAATACAAATAAATAAGCTGGAAAAGGAAAAAGTCCTGTTAATGTGTCATAAAGTGCAATAGCTAAAAGAAGTATATTTGTTGGTGAACGAAGATGTTTTTGAAGTAGAACAACAGCAATTAAAGAATTTAATACAGTTGAAATAATAATTATTAATGGTGCACAAAAACCTTGTAATATAATACTATATGTTGGTGGACATTGACCTGGAAAAAATGGATACCAATGTAATTCTTTTATTTGATCAATACCACCAATTGTTTCAATAGTTGATAATGTTTGATTAAGTGTAAGTGCCATAGTATCAAAATCAATAGGATATAAAAGATTTATTGTATAATTACTTTGAGAAAAATCAAACCATTGTCTAAATTAAATCAATTTGATTAATAAAAAGAAAAAAAAAGAAGTTTTTTATTTTTTATTTTTTTATATAGATTCTACTTAAATTTTTTCCATCTTTTTATTTTTTCTTTTGTTTGACAACGATAATCAAAACGTGATTATAAATACTACTCAATATACAAGAATCAAGGATAGAAAAAGAAAACAACAACAACAAATAAGTTCACTATAGTATTGAATCTAGAAGTGTTGTGCCTAATATGAAGAGAAATAGCAAAACAAGGTCATCAATTATATTAAAAAGAGAAATATTCAAGAATGTTTGATAAAGAAAAACAAAAACTAATTGAAAATCATCAATCATTTTAAGAAAAACCACACAGTTTTCATTAATAAAACGAAAAATAAAAAAAAAATAAAAAAAGACAAAATAGAAAGTAATTTATTCATTTTTCTACCTATATAATTAGATACATATACTTTTATGTTGTGTCCGGATGTTGATAATTAAACAAAGATTTATTTCATGTCATAGAGAACATATACAACAACGTGCATATATAATTTAAGGAATGAATCGCTTCGTCTCCGATAATATTAACAATAAGTTAGTGTACTATATAAAATTCTTTCACATCAATAGGATGTCAAACATAATCAGGTTGACGTACGGACAAAAGAAAAAAGAAAGCGATTGCTTTTCTCTCAATCAACAACAAAAAACAATATATTCAACAACAAAAAAAAAAAAAAAGTCAAATGATTCTGTTGTGTATATCAATCTTTTATGTTTTTCTTCTAAGTAAAAAGAATTTGATGATCTACTTTTAGAATATTTTTTTTTCTATGATAAAATAAAACATTATTATTCTATGACATACTACTTATGCTTCATGAAATATTCAAAGAACACAAAAGGTATTACATTTGATCGTTTTTCTATACTGATTTAACGCTTGATGTTATTTCTAAAAACAAAAAAAGGAAATATAGCTATTTTTTTTTCTCTCACACATTCTATTCTTAACAGAACTAAATGATCATTTTTGAATAGATTATTAAATGAAAATACATCTACTAGTTTTCTTTAGCATATAATCATATTGAATGAATACTTACCAGAAATAAGATAAATTTGTGTATATTTATATATATATCTTATATTTATCCTTATCAACATTGTTAACGAACTAGACCATTAAATGTATGATCATATAAAGACGACGCAAATAAGCACTTGTTATTCAAGTGGCTACAGAAAATTGCCAGAAAAACAAGGATACGACGATCATTGCTGATAGATTAACAATGGGAAAAAAGAATTATTTGTCTAGGGATAAGCAATATATGAAATAATATGAAAGCATAACGATAAAGAAGATAAATAGCTTTTTTTTTTCATTGATGAGTACGTTGATATAAATTAACAGAAAAAGAAAATGCGAACTATACACTTACTGCCTACTATTAACAAATTTTTGATAATACACACGATTCCCTTGATGTATACTATTATTACAGATTTTAACAGAAAAAAAAGGAATTCTTTCTGAATAACCAATAATATGAAATGTATTCATTTAACGTATGTGACGTATCCTAGCAGAACTGTCAAATAAGTATGCTATTAGTTTTCTTCGTAGTTTTTAATAAAGTCAATGTTACTCATAGGAATGCAATATAATCTTCTTTTCATTATGACAAGATTTAGATAAAATTAGCCACGAAGAAAAACAATGAAAATTATCTTGAAAAGACAAAAAAAAATTGAACATTACTTCAGATAGAATTCTACTTAGGTCTGTCTAATTTGTTAGTTATGGATCAACACAATGTCTTATTCTTTTTCTGTCTCATAAGAGATTTGATATTTCAAGTTCTAGAAAAACTCAATTGTCATTAATGATGAAGAACAGAAAAAGATAGGAGAACAAACAAAAAGAAAAGAAAATGACACAGATCATAAGAGCACGGTTAAATAAATTTGCACCTAGATAAATTAACAATATCTTCAAAAGGACAAATGAATATATATACATATATTTTTTTTTTGTGTGTATGACTGTTTATTTTATATAGATTCATTTAAGGTTATTCGAAAAGTTTCCGCCTCTGTAATACTGTTTTGATTTATGTTTGTGAGTAATTAACATATCTAAATATCTGACATATGTATATAAACATATCAAGATCATCAACGATATTATCTATTTTGTTCTTATCTGATTTTGATTTTCGTATATGTCACCGTGTTTTGGTCTTTGCAAGAAAAAAAAAGAAAAGAAACTGACAGAGATTACAGAAAGAAAAATAAATCATCTATCTATAGGTTAATATTCATAGAAGAAAAATAAAATTATTTAAATCAACATATATAAAAACCAAAAAAAAAAAGAAAAGAAATATTAAAATACTCACATCAATTCATTATCTGTATATATCATATTTTTTTACTTTGATTTTTATAATCAAAAAAAAAATGAAACTTTTTTATTAGTAATTATATCCGTGTAAATAATTTATGTTATACGAAAAGATTTAGATGTAGTCATATAAGAGAGAAGAAAAAAAAAAAAAAAAAAAAACAAGAAATTATTGATTGTTATTTTACTAATCAAAGTCTACATTATTTGAACAACAATCAAGATTATTTTGTATTGAAATTAGAAATGCAAAGAGAGAAGTACTTAAGAAATGAAAAATAATCTTAGACTATTTCAAGACATTTTATGATCTTAGTTTTTTCTTCTCATTCTATGTAAGTCTATAATAATTACATATTCTCATTATCATCATTATTATCAATATGAGTACTCTTTAAAAAAAACAACGCATCAGATTTATTTTTTTGCCCTTATATATAAGGAAAAAATGCTCAATTATACAGGTCTAGAATGATTAAAGGAAAACGATTCTAAAAAAAGACCACGTAATGATGTTGAAAAGTGACTGCATCTCTTCTTTCTTACGTGCGCAGTATTGATAAAACAACATGATGAATGACTTATTCTTAACAATCACTTATTCATGTTTAAGAATATATATGATATTAGACACATACACAAAAGTAATTGTGAATAATCGTTTGAATTGACTTCCTTTTTTTTTGCTTATTATTTATTTCTATTTTTCCTTTTCTTGAAAAAGGTTTAAGGTTTCTACATAACAAAAGCTCATTATATTTTGTATATATATATATATATATATATATATATATATGTGTGTGTGTGTGTGTGTATAAAGACAAAACAGAAAGAATACATTCTCATGATTACTTACATAGGATCAGCAAGTCAAAAAGAAAATCAAATTGCCAAGCGTATGTTTATGTCAGGTATACTGTCAATGTTGTGTCGTAAACGATCAAATAAATAAGAAAAAAAAAATGTCTCTAGGTTTTTCTTCGACTTCGTTTTCTTCTTCTTCTCTTTTTTTTTTTCTTATGTTTCACACATGATCCCATCTAACAAAAGATCTACGTTTTTGTTCTTTCTCCTATTCTAGTTAGATATGTATATTAATAGTTGCTAACTATGACGACGGCAAAACTCGAGACATGCAAAGCGTAGTCATCATCCAACATCCTTCCTATTCGTCATTATGTCAAATGTTCGATATAGGAATACCCGAGGCGGATCGCACGCTCTTCCTTCTGAATGTTCTTACTTGACAATCTTGAGATATTGTAAAAAGAAAAAGGAAAAGAACTGTGACAAGTAAGAAACATACAAGTTTCTTTTGACAATGGCACAGATTAGTGGTTGTTTGCTCTTCCTTTCTATCTCTATTTTCCAATTTTCTTCTTATTTTTCTATTGTATTAGACAAGACCTGTCAGACCATTCGATAGTATCTCTTATTTATTTGTTTCTTAAGCCTTACTTAATTAGTATTCTTATACAAACTTACCCATATTCTTCATGCATTGTAGAGCGTTTTTTTTGTTATTTTTGACGAAATGATATGTAAAAACAAAGCAACCGAAGAAAACTCTGTAGAGCTTAAAATATAAATTAATACATTTCCTTTTCTTGATTTTTTGAAACATTATAGAGACGAAACCATTGATTAGAAAAGATCTGTTGAACGTGATGATAATAACGGACGAGTGAATCTTATGCGTTACTTCTCACTTCATTACATTCAAACGTGCCAATCTTGTGACGTCTGAATGATTATCGAGCTTCATAATTGAAGTGAGATCTCATCGACAAAAGAAACTATTGAATTCAATAGATTTTCTTTGGATTTACTTAAAGAAAAGATGAAGAAAAAGAAGAAGAAGAAGAAGAAAAATAGAAAAAAATACAAAAGATGTTTATTTATCAACAGTAAGATCAAAAAATAAGATTGATAATAATATTATATTTGTCGATAAAAGAAGAGAAAAAAAATCTGCTAGTTTCTTTCACTTTTTTGTGTCATAATGCACGCAGTAGAACGGCTGACACATTGATTTTCTACTCAATTTCCCATTCTTTTCTTTTTCGTATACAAATAATGCTACTACAAACTCTATTCAGTTTCTTCTTCTTCTTCTTCTTTTTTTTTTCTCCGAACTTTCGCAGTCTGTCATAATTGATTTAGTCTTTTGTCTATCAGTTTTCTTTTTACTCTGTTATTCACCATATTCTAGTCTTCTATCATAGAAATCATCACTAAAGAAACATTGTAATTTTTCCATCACTTTTTAATTTGTTTCCTTGTATAGATCGAAATATAACGTATGATTAAATATATAGTTTGAAGTGAGTCTTCTAAAAATAAGAATACTTCACAGTCCAATTTCATTTCACACTAATTAATAACCATTAAAAGGAGAACAGCCAATGAATTGACAGTGATTAACCCAAATATAGAACACTTTTGAATGAAATTATATTAGCATTGTATTAGAAACTAATTCAACCGAACATAGCTCTATTCCCAGAGTGTCATTAGTGCATAGGGAGAAGG